TCAATGCCATAGGTTTGTGCATAACCTTTAGCCACAAGGCGAGCCTTAAGGCGGTCAAGTGTGCCGTCAGCCTTAGTTTTCGGAGTTAACACCCATTTACATCCAATGGCCTTTTTACCCGCCGGTAAATCGACCAGGGTCCATGTACCAGCTCGATCAAGGGCCGCCATCTCCTCTTCCATTGCAGCACGCCAACCTGAGTGGGCCAAGGCTTCACGAATAGTTCTGGGCACAGAGATAGTATCTAGGGAGGCAACAAAGGAACTGGACACAGGAGACAAGCGGTCATATGAAACAAAGGACGAAATAGGATGGGCACAAGTACGTTTACCTTTGCGAAGGGCAATGGGTAGATCAAGAGAGGCATCCGGGTCTGGAACAGGAGGTGTCTCAGGATTAGGGTCAGAACGAGGTTCAGTGTTGCTCAACTCAGGATCTGAGGGCGAGGCGGACCAGGGAGGAATAGAAGCTGGCGTGGCGGTAGTAATCTCCGTTGACCGTGTGTATACACACGATCAAAGGGTTGAACGAGTGCGGGAGCGGGTGCTTGCGACGACAGTGATGGTGAGGTGACAGAGTATATTAGAAGGTCATCCTCCTCCGCAGGTGGAGCAGGTGGGGAAGAATGCGAGAAATATGGTGTGGACTCCTGAAAGGTGACATCTGCAGATACTAAATAACGATTGAGAGTAGGTGAGAAACAACGATAACCTTTTTGGACCCGAGAGTATCCAAGGAAGACACATTTAAGAGACTTTGGGTCTAACTTTGAAATAGATGGCCGTACATCCCGCACAAAACAGACACACCCAAATATCTTAGGAGCAATAGGGAACAAAGGCTTAGAAGGAAAGAGGGTAGAAAAAGGAGAGTTACCATCAAGAACAGAGGAAGGCATTCGGTTAATAAGGAAGCAGGCAGTGGAGACCGCGTCAGCCCAAAATGGTTTAGGAACCTGCATTTGAAACAAAAGTGCACGGGCCACCTCAAGTAGGTGGCGATTTTTTCTTTCTGCAACACCATTTTGAGCTGGTGTATCGACACAAGACGACTGATGAAGTATACCATTTTGAAGCATGTAAGATTGGAACGAAGCAGAGAGATATTCTTTAGCATTATCACTTCGTAAGGTGCGAATAGAAACATTAAATTGAGTTTTAATCTCAGCACAAAAGGCACAAAAATGGGAAAACAATTCAGAACGATGTTTCATTAAATATAACCAAGTTGTCCGGGAATAATCATCAACAAATGTAACAAAGTATTTAAACCCTGCTTTGGACTCTACAGGACAAGGACCCCAAACATCAGAATGGACTAACTCAAAAGGGGATGAAACCCGTTTATTGACACGAGACACTAAAGGAAGACGATGATGCTTGGCAAACTGACATGACTCACAATCTAAAGACGACAAATGCTGAAATTGAGGATAAACTTTCTTAAGAGAAGATAAAGACAAATGACCCAATCGACAATGAACTTCAAAGGGAGAATGACTGCTAGCGCAAGCTACCGCATGAGACACCCGATCATCCAGTATATAGTGCCCGCCAGATTCATAACCTCTACCAATAATCCGCCTCGTCAAAAGATCCTGTATCAAGCAATGAGAAGGAAAAAGTGAGACCCAACAGTTTAGTTGACGGGTGAGTTTACTGGGAGATAGGAGATTAAAAGCAAGTTTAGGAACATTTAGCACAGATGACAAACGGATAGAGGGTGTGGGATTAACAGTGCCAGAACCGAGAACTTGAGACTGGGAACCATCAGCGATGGAAACACTTGACGGATTGGCAAAAGCATTATAAGAGGAGAAGAGATGGCTGTTACCTGTCATATGATCAGTAGCCCCGGAATCTATGATCCACTTTGAGGAAGAAGAAGCAAGGGCAGTAGCATTATTACCTGTTGTAGCTGCGGCACTCACAGACGGTGTAGTAGATTTTAACTGGGCATACTCAGCAGCAGAAATCGTGACTGTGTCACTGGCTTGTGTAGCCACGTGGGCAGAGTTATTCCGTTGCTGTTTATTCTGAAGTTTTCGACATGTGCGTTTTGTATGCCCCGGTTCTTTGCAGTAATAACACACTACCCCACTGGAGTCAGAAGGGGCTCCCCCTTGCTTCGAACCACCACGGGTAGGCCCCCCGCGGTTATCAATAGGACTACGAGTCTCATAGGTGCCCTTACTGAGCAAGGCACTTGTAGGAATACTAGCAGCTGGTGGCAAGAGATTCTCAGCTCTCATTACTCTGGAAAACACATCTTGAAGGTCAGAAATTTCAGATCCGGATAAGATTTGAGACCGAACTGTGTCGTACTCAGGTGGGAGACCAGTAAGAAAGCTCATAATAGCCATTTGCTCCCGTTGCTTATGCTGAACCTTCAAATCAGCAGTAAGAGGCATTAACACATTCAGTTCTTCATACATCCTTTTAAAGTCCATAAAGTAGGCTTTGAGAGGACGATCCTGTTTTTCAGAACGATAGAAAGCTTTGCAGACCTCGTAAACACGAGAGATATTTCCTTTTCCTGAATACAAAAAATCTAAATAATCCATTAGTTCCTTAACCAATTCACAGTGATTAATAGAGGGAATAATCTCACTGTCAATGGAATTACGGATCTGGAAAAATAGCCGTGCATCATCCCGCAACCAGGTCTTTTTGGAATCAGTTGTTGGAGGATCATCAGTCAGATGGTCTTCCTTCTCAATGCTCCGCAGATAGAGGCGAATGGTTTTACTCCAATCCAAATAATTTACCCAAGTCAACTTGTGATCAGTAATTTTAGTAATAGTTGGGACAAGCTCCGAGACAGATTTAATTTCCGCCATAGATGAAGTGCACTAACCAAAGGGAATGCGAAAGAGTGTTACACAGGAACACAAAGCACGATACCTGGATTACCTAATGAATACCAAGGCAGTTAAAAGGCCAACAGCTACACAAGGAGCTGCAAACAGAACTGAATTGCACAAACAGCGTGCCGGAGATGCGCCAGAAACGAAACAGAACGCCAGAAAGTAATAAACCGTACGGACTGTACGGACGTCGAGTGAACAGTGCAGAGCGCACGGACTGTACGGACGCCGCCGGAAAGTCGATGAACAGTGCAGGCATACGGACTGTACGGACACTGTACGGACGCCGAGTGAACAGTGCGGCGGCGGTACTGTAGCAACCGAAAATTAACACCTAGAGAGAAAATTCCCACGCTCTGATACCATGTAGGAAATAGAATAATATGGAAAATAATTCTCTTGTATTTCATTGATCAGAATATACACATATATATACAAGTGAGAGGAGCCTCTGCATTAATGGCCCATTATGATAATATCATATCCTATCAAATCCTAATCATAATTACATAATATTTACATATCAAATCATATCATATCTCTACATATACCACCAAGAGAATCATGCCAGCCGCTGTTCTTTGATAAAATACAGAATGATCGCACTTGCTTTGGCTCATGCCAAATTTCTGTACGACAGTACTGAACCGGTCAAACCATGCACGAGGGCTTTGCTTCAAACCATACAAGGACCTCTTAAGGCGACATACTTTCCCATGCTCCCCCTGAGCAACGAACCCAGGTGGTTGCTCCATATAGACCTCTTCATGAAGATCACCATGTAAGAACGCATTTTTAATGTCTAATTGATGTAGATCCCAATCATAAGTAGCAGCCAGAGAGATGAACAGACGGACAGATGAGAGCTTAGCAACAGGAGAAAAGGTTTCGGAATAGTCAATGCCATAGGTTTGTGCATAACCTTTAGCCACAAGGCGAGCCTTAAGGCGGTCAAGTGTGTCGTCAGCCTTAGTTTTCGGAGTTAACACCCATTTACATCCAATGGCCTTTTTACCCGCCGGTAAATCGACCAGGGTCCATGTACCAGCCCGATCAAGGGCCGCCATCTCCTCTTCCATTGCAGCACGCCAACCTGAGTGGGCCAAGGCTTCACGAATAGTTCTGGGCACAGAGATAGTATCTAGGGAGGCAACAAAGGAACTGGATACAGGAGACAAGCGGTCATATGAAACAAAGGACGAAATAGGATGGGCACAAGTACGTTTACCTTTGCGAAGGGCAATGGGTAGATCAAGAGAGGCATCCGGGTCTGGAACAAGAGGTGTCTCAGGATTAGGGTCAGAACGAGGTTCAGTGTTGCTCAACTCAGGATCTGAGGGCGAGGCGGACCAGGGAGGAATAGAAGCTGGCGTGGCGGTAGTAATCTCCTTTGATCGTCGTGGATACACACGATCAAATGGTTGAACGAGTGCGGGAGCGGGTGCTTGCGACGACAGTGATGGTGAGGTGACAGAGTATATTAGAAGGTCATCCTCCTCCGCAGGTGGAGCAGGTGGGGAAGAATGCGAGAAATATGGTGTAGACTCCTGAAAGGCGACATCTGCAGATACTAAATAACGATTGAGAGTAGGTGAGAAGCAACGATAACCTTTTTGGACCCGAGAGTATCCAAGGAAGACACATTTAAGCGACTTGGGGTCTAACTTTGAAATAGATGGAAGTACATCCCGCACAAAACAGACACACCCAAATATCTTAGGAGCAATAGGGAACAAAGGCTTAGAAGGAAAGAGGGTAGAAAAAGGAGAGTTACCATCAAGAACAGAGAAAGGCATTCGATTAATAAGGAAGCAGGCAGTGGAGACCGCGTCAGCCCAAAATGGTTTAGGAACCTGCATTTGAAACAAAAGTGCACGGGCCACCTCAAGTAGGTGGCGATTTTTTCTTTCTGCAACACCATTTTGAGCTGGTGTATCGACACAAGACGACTGATGAAGTATACCATTTTGAAGCATGTAAGATTGGAACGAAGCAGAGAGATATTCTTTAGCATTATCACTTCGTAAGGTGCGAATAGAAACATTAAATTGAGTTTTAATCTCAGCACAAAAGGCACAAAAATGGGAAAACAATTCAGAACGATGTTTCATTAAATATAACCAAGTTGTTCGGGAATAATCATCAACAAATGTAACAAAGTATTTAAACCCTGCTTTGGACTCTACAGGACAAGGACCCCAAACATCAGAATGGACTAACTCAAAAGGGGATGAAACCCGTTTATTGACACGAGACACTAAAGGAAGACGATGATGCTTGGCAAACTGACATGACTCACAATCTAAAGACGACAAATGCTGAAATTGAGGATAAACTTTCTTAAGAAAAGATAGAGACAAATGACCCAATCGACAATGAACTTCAAAGGGAGAATGACTGCTAGCGCAAGCTACCGCATGAGACACCCGATCATCCAGTATATAGTGCCCACCAGATTCATAACCTCTACCAATAATCCGCCTCGTCAAAAGATCCTGTATCAAGCAATGAGAAGGAAAAAGTGAGACCTAACAGTTTAGTTGACGGGTGAGTTTACTGGGAGATAGGAGATTAAAAGCAAGTTTAGGAACATTTAGCACAGATGACAAACGGATAGAGGGTGTGGGATTAACAGTGCCAAAACCGAGAACTTGAGACTGGGAACCATCAGCGATGGAAACACTTGACGGATTGGCAAAAGCATTATAAGAGGAGAAGAGATGGCTGTTACCTGTCATATGATCAGTAGCCCCGGAATCTATGATCCACTTTGAGGAAGAAGAAGCAAGGGCAGTAGCATTATTACCTGTTGTAGCTGCGGCACTCACAGACGGTGTAGTAGATTTTAACTGGGCATACTCAGCAGCAGAAATCGTGACTGTGTCACTGGCTTGTGTAGCCACGTGGGCACTGGCTTGTGTAGCCACGTGGGCAGAGTTATTCCGTTGCTGTTTATTCTGAAGTTTTCGACATGTGCGTTTTGTATGCCCCGGTTCTTTGCAGTAATAACACACTACCTCACTGGAGTCAGAAGGGGCTCCCCCTTGCTTCGAACCACCACGGGTAGGCCCCCCGCGGTTATCAATGGGACTACGAGTCTCATAGGTGCCCTTACTGAGCAAGGCACTTGTAGGAATACTAGCAGCTGGTGGCAAGAGATTCTCAGCTCTCATTACTCTGGAAAACACATCTTGAAGGTCAGAAATTTCAGATCCGGATAAGATTTGAGACCGAACTGTGTCGTACTCAGGTGGGAGACCAGTAAGAAAGCTCATAATAGCCATTTGCTCCCGTTGCTTATGCTGAACCTTCAAATCAGCAGTAAGAGGCATTAACACATTCAGTTCTTCATACATCCTTTTAAAGTCCATAAAGTAAGCTTTGAGAGGACGATCCTGTTTTTCAGAACGATAGAAAGCTTTGCAGACCTCGTAAACACGAGAGATATTTCCTTTTCCTGAATACAAAAAATCTAAATAATCCATTAGTTCCTTAACCAATTCACAGTGATTAATAGAGGGAATAATCTCACTGTCAATGGAATTACGGATCTGGAAAAATAGCCGTGCATCATCCCGCAACCAGGTCTTTTTGGAATCAGTTGTTGGAGGATCATCAGTCAGATGGTCTTCCTTCTCAATGCTCCGCAGATAAGGCGAATGGTTTTACTCCAATCCAAATAATTTACCCAAGTCAACTTGTGATCAGTAATTTTAGTAATAGTTGGGACAAGCTCCGAGACAGATTTAATTTCCGCCATAGATGAAGTGCACTAACCAAAGGGAATGCGAAAGAGTGTTACACAGGAACACAAAGCACGATACCTGGATTACCTAATGAATACCAAAGCAGTGAAAATGCCAACAGCTACACAGGGAGCTGCAAACAGAACTGAATTGCACAAACAGTGGGCCGGAGATGCGCCAGAAACGAAACAGAACGCGCAGAAAGCAATAACCGTACGGACACTGTACGGACGCCGAGTGAACAGTGCAGAGCGCCGGAAAGTCGATCACAGTGCAAAGCGTACGGACACTGTACGGACGCCGAGTGAACAGTGCAGGGCGGTGGCACCAAGGGAAGCGTCGGGAAGAGGGTCACGAGCTCACACAGTAATTTTGGTACTGTAGCAACCGAAAATTAACACCCAGAAAGAAAATTCCCACGCTCTGATACCATGTAGGGAATAGAATAATATGGAGAATAATTCTCTTGTATTTCATTGATCAGAATATACATATATATATATACAAGTGAGAGGAGCCTCTACATTAATGGCTCATTATGATAATATCATATCCTATCAAATCCTAATCATAATTACATAATATTTACATATCAAATCATATCATATCTCTACAATAATAAATATAAATATTTTAAATTAAATTATTAACTTTATTAATCTTTTCAAATTAGTTAAATATGTCTTATATTAAGGACTAGATGTAGTATAACATGTATTAGATGCTACTAAATGTTTCTCTACGAGAAATGCTTCTCTAAGTACAATAACACTCATTGTTTAGGCCATGGATCCCATGGATGTCGCTGAAGTTCAAAAGAAGATGAGGAAACTGTTCAAAGAGTAAGTCATTTTTCCAGTCTTCCTATGAGGAACATTCGTTGGCATTTGGGACAGGTACAATAATGATGATGTGTGTAGTATTGAATCATTGTTTGTTGATAGCTCACTTCCCCCACATTATTATCGTACTTTTTTTTATTTATCTTCTGTTCGTGATGATATCTTGTCTCACACAATAGGCTAAGAGCTTGGGAAAGATTCTCTTTGTGACTCTGCATAAGGTGAAAAATTAGCACAAGAAGAATTAAGTAGAGAAAAGGAAGTACATTCTGTTGTAAATATTGCACGTGAGTGTGTTAAAAAAAAAAAAAAATCCCTTTGACATGTCTGTTCCTTCTTGTGGACAGACATCTTATTTAAGACGTGTCGATTCTGGAGCTGCACCTTTGGAAAATACTCAAATGCATATTGGTGAAGAAAGAAGAGGCAATTCGATCAAAGGCCAAATGCAAATAGATTATACCAAAAACCACATTTCCCTTGTGCAAGCTAAATTGATCAATTAAAAGGAACTAATCATATCAGGTATGCACTAATGTGAATGTTTTCTTCTTGGAAAATATAAGCCTCTTTATGTATTTTATTTTATTAAACGCAATATGTAATTGTGATGTTATTTATAATTATAAAAATAATGAGAAGCTAATAAGTTAAATTGAAAGAATGAATTTTTAAAAGAAAAACCATACATAAATTTATTTATAGGCATGTTTTATAATACCAATGAATGTAAATTTAACTTTAATGATTGCGAAATTTATGTTTCATATATTTCTAGACTAAACTTTCTATATATATATATATATATATATATTTATGTATAATCCCAATGCTTTACGGCATTGGCTGCGCTCACATGTTCTCAGACATACTTCGTTTTCTGCAAGTTAAAGACATTGAAAGAAAAATAAACAAGTTACATATATTTTATTTATGGGTTAATATAAATTTTAACCCTTCAAGATTGTTTTCATTTTGATTTTGGTCTCTTAAGCTTTAAATCATAGGTTTTAATCTCTCAAATTTCTTATTGGTCCCCATAATCCAATAAAACTTGAACCATTTTGCCCCTAGAGGGATCAGAATTTATGATTTAAAACTTGAGAGATTAAAACCAAAATGAAAACAAAATTCAAGGATCAAAGATTATATTAACTTTTTTATTTATTTTGTCAAATTTATATAATTTTATAATTTTTAAACTTCTATACATTTTACTTTGAAGACATTCAACCTTTATGAAAAACTATTTTAAATTTATGGAAAAAAAACATAGATTCCTGTTTGAATTATAGCTTTAGTTTCGGAATGATTATTATTCAAATTAAGTACTGTTAGTGCATGGTTTCAGAAGATCCCTGTTTTAGGCAAATGTAAAGATAGCCATGTGATTTTTCGTTGACCTACATTCCCTGCTCCCCTAGTTTACGGGTATGGGAAAATTTATATTTTATATAGTCTTCAAAATTTCTTCATTGTTTGCTTGATCTATAAGCGTGTGAATCATAATTCATGTTGTATTTACGACTATTTGATCTACTTGGTTTTATTTTTATTGGATAAATTAATCTTTGATTGAATTTTGGAGTGCAATCCAAAAAGATATTTGATCTTTATGATATAGGTGTAAGGTAGGATTCAAATTAGTTAAGTTATTTAATTATTTATAATAAATGTATGTCGTTTTTTTAAAATAACTTTTTTAGTCATGTGCGGGTATGCCTCTGGCCGTTTTATTCTCTTCTGGGGAGTTCAATAAGCCAAGGATACCACAATTCAACTTTGCTATAGGCGAGCTAATGAAACTTTGAAGTAGGATGATGGACGGAGAAGAACCTTTCTAAGTGCAATGCTCGGAAATCGTCAACGTCAAATGTCATTGATAAAAACTCATTTACCATGAATAATCAATAAGGATACTTTAAAGAAGAAAATATAAATTTATGAGACAAAGTGGATTGATATTTTATATTTAGAATCAAAATGAAACTCTTGTTTATTTCTTATATTTAGGATATTTAGGACTGAAGGTAGTAGGTTTTATTTGTAACAATTAGCAACTTATCCCATATCTTATAGGGCGAATGACATTAAAGGGCTAAAAGATTGAATTATTATTCTTAACTGGATACAAATTTGAAAATAAAAAATAAGAGTTAGAAGTCTAACAAGTACTTAAGTATGAAGGGAAACTGTATACCAAAAGTTATAAATACTCTACTAAGCATCCCATTATACTCAATGTGAGACTTAGGATCCCATACTACCAAGTCTCTATCAGTTAGCCCCTATGGATAGTTGACGTCTTAATGGCTACATCCCATGGCATTTCATTAGGCATCGTACCAATTAGAACCCTCCATGGGTAGCCATCTCCTGAGTCGTCAATAGCTTGGCTCTGATACTAATTAATGGGTACCTAAGTGGGATGAGGAACCCTAACCTAAAAACTAGCTGTTGAAGTCGGAGAATCAACCCACTTGAATACCCCATTATCAATTGGTCCCGATGGAAAGTGGACATCTCAATAGCTTCACTTCATGACACTTTACTCTACAACCTGCCAGTTAGAACCCTCCATGAGTAGCCTTCTTCGGAGCTATTAACAATTTGGCTTTGATGCCAATTAATGGATATATACCTTAGTAGGATGGGGAATCCTACCCTAAAAGCTAGTTGTTAAGGTGGGAGAACCAGCACAATTACATATCTCAAAAGCTTTGATAACAAATGATAGGAAGTAAGGTAGAACAATAGGAAAATAGAGTTGAAACTAATATTGACGCCAAACAACCACTTGTTACAATACAAGATATCACTTGTTCAACTCACACATAAGAACACTCAACTCACTAACATACTGAAATACATATAAGTATGATGAAGAAATACTCTCTGTTTCTATCCTTAACCTGGCTTTTAAGAGGCCAGTCCTCTCCATACTCCACTTGAATGCAAAACAAGTCCTCCCCATTCAAAGAAACTAAAGGCTAATATAAGCCAGAAAGTAACCAACACAGTCCCCAAAAGATCCTTTGACAAAAGATTGGTCTAAAGCACCTCTAGAGCCATTCTAACTTTTAGCTTCTCTCTAAAGTGGTGGAAGTCTTAAAGTAAACTACTTGACCCCTGGAAAGTGTGCTTTTCCTTTTGCTTGCATTTTCCTATGCTTCTTTTGCTAGGTATGGCTAGCTAAGATGGTTCTACCATTACCTTCCCCTAAAAGCTACACCTTGTCCTCAAGATGAGAGGTAGAGTTTGCAACCAGAAAGGTCTTTTCAATAGAATCTGGTTTTGGCTTTAGAACAGTAGCTAACCCATGAGTTGCTCATTCAGGCATTTTCCAATAGTCTCAAGACTTATGCGAATATGAAATCAAATTTGTCTGTGCTAAAATTTTTGCTCCCACCTGGAATATACGTGTGATGCCATCTGCTTGAATGATCGTACCATTCTTCATCAATTCTTTGGCCATCTTTTTAACTTCTATGCCTAAGAATGTACTTCTATTTTCTTCTTTTTCTCTTGAAAAATTGAAGCTGACAATTACGTTCACCATAAGCTGTTCCTCTCGTATCAGTAGAATTGAAAACAAAATCTTGATCTTCTGTATAAGCAAAGCTTTATGCAGTAGGTTCTCTTCCATTAATTGTTCCTTATGGCTTTGTGTTGGCTACCCCCAAGAATATTTCCTACACTAACCCATACTTCAGCGTTGCCAGCAGAGAGTCATTTAGGACAATACCCAATTCAAGTTTTTTATATTCATTATATCAGTTTTTTTAATCATATATGATCATGTTTCGTATTTTTTAAATATTATCATTAAACAATAATTTCATATAAAAAATAAGACATATAACTCTAAAAAAATTTGACATAATAAATATAAGAAATTTGATACAAATATTTTATTTAATGGGCTTTCCTTTGCGTTTAATGGGCTTTCTTTTGCCCAAGGGGTTAAGGCCCTCTAATAAAGTTTTCTCAATTCGTTATTTTTGGGCCAAGTACTGTATTCCAAGAAACCATTGTTGAATGATCCATTGGGAATGAATAGTGCAAAAATATTAGGAAAAATTATATTAAATTCTTTTTTAAAAAAAACAAAAAATTCGGCAAAAAGGTTCCATGACGATTACAAGTTAATTAAGAGCTTAAAAGGAACCTAAGTGTAAGGCATTTTACAAAATACTAATAATAATTTATATAAAGAATATTAATTATTTTTAGAATTTAATAAAATACCTCACATATTTGAAACGAGAGTAATATCCAACAATCTCCAGATTATCGTTTGATATGGTGACAGCTAAAATTTTCCTTGTCTAATCTTTTGTTTATTATAAAATTGATTGGAAACTAGTTATTGAATTTTGTTCGGTTGATTTATAAAATTAATTCTGTAAATTGATTAAAAGAAACGATTAAAAATTAGTGGGAGATGGTTATTGAATTTTGTTGGGTTTTTTTTCTTAAAAAACCAATTCTTATAGAACATATTTCATTTTGGTCATTGCATGCATCAATATAGATTAGAAGACTCCAGAGAAAAGCAAACTCACTATTTAAAAGATGAAGAATAAAAGTTCAGAAATATAAGAGTTGTTTGTTTATGCTTTTATTTTTGTAAAATAGTTTAATAAAATTATTGCCTAAAACAAGTTTTGAAAAAAAAATAATAGTTAACTTTTAAAAAGATAAATAGGTGATGCTGAATATTCTTATAATAGTTTTAATTACTTCCAATATCAAAATTTATCAAAATAACTTATTTTTTATTTTAAAATTCTGAAATTCAACGAGTATTTTTTGTTATTTTTACCAAAAAAAATATTTATTAGTAAATATTTAGATAAAAAGGAGGAAAATATTACAACCGCGGGTGACGCACCCACCAACATCATCAATCAATCTATAGGTTGAATAAAACCTTTGGTGTCGGATGCCAGTAGTCGCACTCTTGCATCACCCGGTGAAAATGGCATTCGAAGCGTCTTCGTCCTTGGGCCTAACCAACAAGACAAGTGCAGCTGCTGATCCCAAAGTCGGTCTTTTGAAGGAACTGAAGAGTCACGAAATCGCCATAGATGAGCTCAACCATCTTCCATCTTCTAGGGTATCTCCTCTTTTGCTGCTTTTTTCTTCGTTCAATTCCCGTTACTCGTCTCCTAAATCTTTGCTCCAAAGCAGGGAATTTAGTTGATTCAGCCAACGAAATTTACAAGCATTAGGCTGTTAGGCTTCGGTAAAGTTTGGAAGAATTAACTTTTACAGTTTTGATACTTACGAGTCCAATGTAAGAACTGGCTGTTCAATCAATTTGTAAGCTGAATGGAAAGTTTGGGAGAAATAACTTGTAAGCCCTATTTGGAAAGTTAATGGGATGTTAAATTTTACAATTTTTCCTTTCAGTTACAGATAATTTGTGTATGATTCTTTTTGTTGGTTTAATCATGGGGCACTGAGTTGCAAACAGAAATTTTCACTTTAGAGAAAATGACTGCAAGCAACTTAAATAGAGGTATCTAATTTATTCCCAATTTAATATCTTCTGGATTTTGTGAGTTTGAATTGAAAGTACCACTATATTCTTGCCTCTGCCTATTATTGATGCAAGGGATCTTATGCCTTGATATGGCTAACCCAGTGACGATATTTAGGGGTATGGTGAGAACTGTGAAACTTTCTTATTGCCCTGAATTTCCTATGTTGTCATATGACCCTCCGGCCCGCGATATATGTCCTATTCTCCCTGCATTACTTGGTCCAAAATATAAATTCGCTTTGATAATATTTAGAGTATTTAATACCTTTTTCCTATTTTCCCTTTTTTCCAATTAAATATTATAAGCAATTACTCCTCTGGTCCTAAATATAAGATCCTTATATTAGTGTGTATAAGGGTCTTATATTTAGGACCGGAGGAGTAATTCATTATAATTGATATAGTCTTGACGGTAGATTTGGAAAGTTTTACAAATATTTTATGTCTTTAGTTATTTGACTTCCATTCAAGTATCAGTTTTTGTTTGTACGCCGTTGTTAAAATGAACCTATATTGGGAACCAAAGAAGTATAATCCATGAACAATGTGACTCATTCCTCAAATTCCCTGAAGTATATGGGGAAAACATGTCTAGGTGGAAAAGAAAACTAATTTTCTTTATGCCATGTCTCAGTTTTCAAGCATCGTTCCCCCCCCCCCCACCCCAACCCCCCTTTGTCCTAGATTTGAGTGTTCTTCATGTGATGGTGGAGAAATGATGGATGTCCTGTGGGTGTGTTTAAGAAGGTTGAACATTGTAGCGCTTATCATTGAAGCCCTATTGCTTACTAAAAATAGCCTATTTTAATCAGGACAAGATGATGACAAGCTATAGAATATAGATCACCATGGTTGAAATGATAACTTGTAATCTTGTCAATTTAGTTCCCGTATCATAAAGACGGCTGGTCACTTTGTTTTGATCTGTTTGTCTGTTGGTCACTTCCTACCTGCTATGAATAATAATATTGTTCTGTTATACAACCTCTTTCTTTTTTAGTTATTACTTTCTCTTCTACTTCTTGTTCTTTCTCTCCCTTGTGTCAGGGAAACATGCACTTCCTTGTAACTGGCTAGGCTTGAGAAGACACATAAACAACTTTAGGATTTCATTTTTCCTAATGTAGGCTGTCTATCAGAGAAATGGGAACTTATTTTTCCGCACAACTATCCAAAAAGCAAAAGCAATGGAGCAGAGTAAGAAATCATTACCAGTTGACTTTGTTCTTTCCTTAAATAAAGCCAAATGCTTTTAAGTTGCCAAAAAAGAAGTCCTGATAATATTTTCTCTCTAAACTATTGCTGGGATGTAGAAGAACTTGATTCAGCCAAGGCAACACTGAAAGTTCTGGATTCTTCCTCATAGCCATAGTGCTTACGTATTTTCTGAGCGTTGATGGTAAGTCGCTGGAGATTCACTCAAGATCTGTGATATTGTAATGTACTAGATTCTGTAAGTTGCATAAAATGCTTTCACTTCAGTGATTTAATTCTAGGCTACATGATGAATGTGTTGTGAATATATTTCCTTTTTGGTTTTTCAATACAAATTGAGTTCAATTTATTCTATATTTTTCTTTATTCATTTTTATTCTGTATACTCAATAGAACTTCAATATTTGATCAAATCGTCTAATCTAATAAATTAATAATAGCTTTCATTAGAGTCCTTTCGGTCCTGAATGCCCTTCAAAAAGGACTAGTACTTAGTACTTTTCATATAAGTGAGCCTAGCAAAATTTGTTAGGTGGATCTCACCCCATCTCTCCCATCACTCTCTCTCTCCTGCACGAGAGAATACGAGAGAATCCGTACGTGTTTTCATCCCCATCTGGACTGGATGCTGGATTGATGGCTTGCACCATGTTGCCTCAGCTGGTAAACAGTGTTTCCCTCTTCATGCATCGTTTTCATTTTAGGCCAATGTTCTTGTAGTCTAATGGTTTAAAAGCTCCCTCATAAGTAAGAAATTGTGGGTCTGATTCCACTTATAACTTTAAACCCTTATACCCCTCTTAACAAGAGAAATAGAGCTGCCATTTTAGTCCGCTCCTAACCAGCAAGATGATGTGATGGGGGGCTAGCAAGGAGGAAATAGATATTTTGTCAAAGAGGCCATTTATCCCCTTGCCCTTAGCCGCAACATGGCAACATCAACCACGTAATGTGATTCTGTTCTTCACTTCTTTTTGGCTTTTCATTTCTCATTTTGGTTCTCTTACCTACCCTTTACTGTTACTACCTTGTGAGGTTGAGGATGCTGTTATGTACTAGAGTGGGACCTTTGAACCAACAAGTGACGACACTCTTGCCTATTTGGAGACTGAAATGAGTTGAATTATTTATTGTTTATAAATTATGTGTAATTTTGTGTTGGATAAGAACCAGATTGATGAAGGTTTAAATGCCTATTACGAGTAAAATCTCTTGCCCAATAATTGATGTTCTATCTCGTTTCTTGTGTTTCATACTTGTTTTCCTTATCAAACCAAAATGTTCACATTAAAACTGAACTCTTCAGATCATGCGGATGGTGGAAATTGGTTCACAATATCAAATATTTTTTTCATATATTTTTATATTTAAAGGGTGGTGAGATGATAGAAAATAATATGATATTAGAATTTAGTGTAGTTAATGAGAATAATATTAAAAATTACTTAAATTTTATAATAAATTTGATATTTTTTTAACTATTTTTATTGATACATGGGAAGAAAGTCCGAAGAGGAAGATACGGATATCTCTTGTCACAAATTCGCCTTTTGATTACCTTGTTTGGTCGCTGCAAGTCCGATCTCTATCCCCCTCTCTCGAAATAGTTGAAGCTTCTCGCCAGATTTGGCTTTTTCCCCTCCTATCGCATGTCCGGTCTCGGTCTCCTATAAGTGTATATGGAAGTGGGAATGTCAAGAAGATTTCGCAGTGATGACCTATTGGCAAAGCTCCTGTTCTCCGACTAAGGTGAGATGTGAGGCAAGTGAAGCTGAATCTACACAATCTTGCGTGATTGAAAGCCATTTAGAGACAGATCTCTCGCATGCAATTTGATTTACAAACCAAGTGATCTCACAGCCTATTCAAAACAGTGTTCTAAGGGGGTGGCGTGTAGGACGCTAGAAATCACTCCGGCAACTGAATACTTGCGCGTTTCTTGAACCAATCAATGAAAGGTACTTCAGGACTTGCTTAAATACTCTTAAACTGAAAACTCTAACCTGAGGATGCTCAAGTTAGAGCAAAGAGTTACCTTTACGTGGGTTTCTATAAATCAAATCAAATCCGGCTTTCTTATCCTTCTGATTAATTTCAGCAATTTTAAGACCAATAAAAGGAGCAACAGTGGCTAATGTTTGGTCTCCTCTGTTCAAAAACGTCTGGTTATATCTTTTCTTTGAGATGTTAAAATAATATATTTCTTTTAGTGTTTTGTGGATCAAGTTTTCTGTGGGTGTCAGACCTCTTTGGTTATGGGTCCTCATATTCGTGAAGTTAAATCTTACAGGTCAAACCATCGGTTTTTCGTTATCAACTTGGACAATCACAAAGTCTATGTTAGTCTAACCTAGCATGCTTCTACTGCATCTAATTGGATCCATTCTGACGCTTCCAAGTATAGACCTTTTCTTGGTAATCTTGTGGTTGGTTTGGGCGTTCAATGTTCTTTTTTTTGGGGGGGGGGGATATAAACTCTACATCCTAAAACTAATTACTATCTCCGGTTCTTAATATAAGATCCTATTTGACTTTTATTTTGGTCATAAATATAAGATTCCAATCCACTTTGTCTCTCATATTTACTCAATTTTTTTCAAGACAGTTCTTCTGATAATTATAGTTCTAGTCAATACATTTGATTAGTAAGGATATTTTAGGAAAGATAACACCTATTTAGGACAAATAACTATCTCAACTTACTTTTTTAATCTCCTCAAATTAGTCAACTGGCTCTTATAATTAGGACCGGAGGTAGTATTTACTTACTTTAAAATCTCTTTTAATCACTATTATGGTAGAAAAGGACAATGGTTGAAGGAGTTATCATTTAACTCGTTTCAAAGAAAATTCATGTTAAAAAAGGAACTCAAGATGGTCTATTATAGGTATTTAAAACTCAAGTTAATATTTATATAAATTAATGTTTAGAAGAAGGAATAAATCTATTTTTAAAGGTATACATGAATGCAGAAATTTCACATTACCAAGACATCCAAAATCATGTTAGAAAGGGTTTAGTTCCACTAACATGGTAATAGAAAAAGAGCCATTGTTTAATGTAACAACCTCTATAATTCTTGTATTTATTTATTTCGAAAACCACAATTAAATATTTAACAACTATTATCTTAGAAAAGAGTTAACTCAAAACATTTATGTAAAAACTATGATATAAAGAATAAATCATAGAATTGAAAACTACCATAGATTTAAAAGACTTTGTTAATCACTTCGAAGAGTCAACTATGGTAGAAAAAAGCAAAACGAATAAAATAGGAGCTTACCATATTTATTAAAATTTCATATCCATAATAATGCACTAATCACTTTTCCATAATAGCAAAATAGTTACCATAGCAAGAAATAATTGTGACACCTGTTTTTCATATATATCAAATCCATCATAAAACTCTAGGATCTTCGAATTACATGTAAAAGCAGTCATAAATAGGCTAGGGCATTTGAAGCCCACAAAATAACAACTACTACCACTCATAACAATCACAACTAAAATAAAAGTCTCATATATCCAAAAAAAGCTCCGCCTAATAGCACAAGTTTAGAATGCAGCGAAAAAATTCAAAATATGTTAATTATAGTAAAAAAGCCTCAAAGTTTGGTAATACACATCAATCAAAGCACGTAAAACAAAATAAAAGCTATACAAAGTAGAAAGAGAAACTTAAGTCTCAACAACTTTTCCTTGGAACCAATACTTGAATCCTGGTTTGAAAAATAATAAATAATCATGGGGTGAGTTAAACTAACCTAGTAACCACAATTCCAATTCAACAAGTATACAAGGAGTGATTACAAAATAGTTAAACGGGTAAAATATAAATTCAAATAACATATAATATAAACATTTCTCCAGAAAACAACATATAATAATTCCAAATGTAACTTGCATAAACATAACTCCTTCAATCATCCTTATAACTTTCTTGTAATCTCTGACAGAACCCATAGGCTATCCACACATAATAGGATTTGTTTCTTTAATAAGACTGCACCAAGTTCTCTAATAATAATGTGTAATTTGGTCAAAAGTTACAAAGTTCACATTAGACCATGGATTCCCTTTTCTTGATATACGGAAAGGTGTCATGTTTTTTGGGCTAACTCTTGACTCAACCAAAAGAAAGGTGATATTGAGGGCCCTAAGAATGTTGAAACCAACAAGCGGGTGCCAAGTGGCAGCTATACTATGTGCTGTGAAACAATCCAACCTATCACAATCACATCTCAACACAATCCAATATAGTTTCATATACATTTAAACAGTTCAATATCATACAATTGAATATCCAAATCATTCTCATATTCAATACTCAATAATGTTTAGCATCAATAATAAAATCTCAAGATAAACAATTCATGCCCATTTAACTAACAATTTTATCAAAACATAAATTTCATATTTTTATTTCACACTTTTCATACATAAAATTCTATAACATATATTGATAGTGTTTAATAATACTAACATATGCTTATAATCACATCCACAAGCATACAAAGTAATTTGGGAATTGATTGCCTTACGTTCTTGATATAAGAACTAATTCGAGAGGATTCAAGACCCAAGAGACCAAACTAAGTTCACTCTACAATTATAAATTTATAAACATATATTAACAAAAATGCTAGCTAATATAATAATAAATAGTTAGTGGTTAAATTTTCATAATTAGCTCACTTAAAATTCTTTAGGAAAAATAATAACAATCTCTCTGTTCCTCCAATCATCCTTCCAAATCACAATTCCTAGAACTTTCCAACTCAATTTCACTCATTAAAATTATTAACAAGGATAATTCCTTTAAATCCTCCAGAAATCCCCATCTTACTATGATTCTTATAGAAAAATAACCATACATCAACTATGGCTCAAATCATTATTATAATCATATTCCATTCTTCTATTATTCATCTCTCACTCATTGGAATCATTAAATTATAACCATCTCTACAATTTATTCAGTACATCTAACTTCTACTAATTAAAGTTTCACACAAATTCATAATATTCACCTTCCATAATAAACTTCAAATCCAGCCTATTCCATCACTAATATAAACTCCAATAAACTAGAATAGTTTTTAAATTTCAAATTTGAGACTCCCAACATCATAAATCAAAATTTTCAACCCAACCATAACTTAAAATTTCCTCAGATCAACTATTTACCAAAAAATCTAGATCATAGGACTCCTACTCTAAACTCATTAGCTCCATTAATATCATAATATTGAACTAAAAGCCTCAACAATTCAAAAATCTATCAACCCTGTCACATCTCGAAAACTTTCACATGGATATAGG